ACACAAAAGATATATTCTTAGGTACATTCGCTCGGACGGCAACAATTCTCGTATTTATTCAACGAAACTCTAGATGTACAGTCACTGCGTTGTCTACATTGTCTTATCATCGAAAAATATTAACGTTTTGTTTCCACGTCACCCGAGGGCACAACAATACGTCTCCAGCACTACACGTAATGGTATACATAATATACTATTCTACCTTTAGAGCTTGATGAATTATTCTTTTGCGAAATTAAAATTCGAATACCTAATAAAATAATTGAACGCTGGTAGACGTTGTGATGAAAATAAAAAAAAAGCTTGTCTGCGTCATATTATAATAGTTATTTATGTAAAACTATCAATGCAATGATTGCTGACAGGTCCTAGAAAACAATTCAAGCTGTAGGCTGGAAACGCTGGGGCATAATAATATGTATATACGCACAATGTTCATTTGTTCACATTAAATTTATTTCGACATTTTTTGTTCCATTGCGGGAATCATTTTCAAGTATTATGCTCTTGAAATCTATATCATAGTGTATTGTTTTTATTCAAATACGACATGGCAGATTGTCAATTAATTTTCCACATTTGATTATGTGCAATCCACGCATAAATTATAATGGTAATGTAAAATGTTGAAAAAAGTACAGTATTTAAATGTGTGTGGATATTTGATCACACAAAGTTATTCTCTGCCTTGTTTGTTATTGAAAATATTTAAATATAATTATTCCTATGTAATCCATAAATAAATAACTGATTATGATGTAATTATCTATCTCAATGGCTACTGCTGCTAAAGTTCATTGAACAAATAAAACGTTTTATTTAATGACAAAAATATTATCTGATGCTGGTTAAGAATTACTATAGATCAGTATTCTATTGGAACAGTGAATGAATACAAATGTGATAACTATAAGTGTTTTAATGTTACTTAATAATAATATGATTGTTACATCATGTAATCGGACTTTGGTCTAAATGACTAAATAGAAATGTAAATATTATTAACAAACTGACACTGAAAGTATTATTTCTATGGACTTCTTATGTTCGTCTTTTTATTACGTACCATTTTAGTAAAGAACCAAAGGAAACAATTTTGGATTACAGCTTACAATCATAAATGATTATTTGGTATCTTGTATTTTTCTGAAGCTATAGAAACAATATTTTAAGTTCCAGTGGTAAATGAATTGGATTTCGAAAACTATTACAGACTACAGTAATCAGACGAAAATATTCACTTCAACAAATTTTTATTAAGTTTTTGTCGAGAAAATAAAACAAAACATTATAATCTAGATGACATAATAAGTAGATTAAACTCGGAAAAATATTTCTAGGGGAGATGGAGAGATTTATACTTAACTTTGGTTATATTTTTGGCACTTCTAAAAGTGTTTTATCTTGTTTTTTAAAACATAAAAAATATATTTTAACATCCTTTTAGGAGAAAGCTTGTCATAAATATTGGCAACCATTATTATTTCGATCCAAAGTCAGTTCGTTGATCATAATGGTTGAATAAAAAAGAAAAAAAAATCATAATAATTAAAGTCGGTGTTTCACGGAAATCTGTTCGATCTGTATTGGTTATTTGAATTTATTTTTGACGACATTGGAGTATTGTGTGCGCTTGAACGTTTTCTTTTTATCTGAAAACCGCGTGACTAGTGAAATTCACATTTTCATTCATTTCCATATATTGCGCATTTGGGCGAGTGCAACGTCTTTGATGTACCAAAAACAGCTAGCTACATCGACTGGCTGGGATTAATTCAATTAATCCCGGAGAAATTCAATTCAGCACAGATTTGTTGAAGGGTAAAATAGTATGCAGCAATAATACAATTGTCAAATTCGAAATGACAAATTACTAACAGCGAAGAACGTGGTACGTTGTTACATTATATGGATATGCAGGTGAGCACATCGAATTTAGACAAAAACTAGTATCTCGGGTTTAGGGTATCATCTAAAGTATAGTCAAATGGGCGTACGCATTATTAAAGTTCGAACGGATGACTTCTTCAAAACAAATAACAGGTAGCAGGTCACCGTTTTTGACGAATGTTGTATTTTTGAACACGTGAAAGTTGAACATCATAACAACAAAACAACGACAAGGGATGGCATGTTAATGAACAGTGGCTAAGGGAATATTTCTTTCTGGTGCCGAAGCTTGGCAAATGTATAAACATAAAGGATGTTCACATATAAATAATAATTAATAATTATTATTTGATGGTTTATATAAAAAAAAAAATGTTACAGTAATTTACACTATCACTTAATGCCGGTTCTAAATTGTCTAACCATGGGTACTTGAGTCATCATGCTATAATCAGTATCTATTGAATTTATTGGTATAATGAAGTTAACGAAATCAAGTATGACATTAAAATATTTTAATCTGTTATTTTAAAGTTGGAGATATGTGGAGTTTTGGCATAGATAGAAAACAAATCAAGGAGAATTAAAATGTATAATTAAAATTATTTGTTCATAATATAAACTACGAGTATAATATACGAGTATTCTATAATATGATAAAGCTACTTCCAGCATGTGGCAAACTTACTCTTCACAATCGAATCTGTAGTACAGAGAGAGTGGAGGAGATATAGTACGCTACCTATGTTTGAATCTGCTCACAAAATGGGTTGGCACTGCTCCGATTCGACGACGTGCATACACCTCACTGTTATTGGAATTTAACTCGGTCGCCATTTGCTTTATATATTTTTATTCTAACAACAATCGAGTTTGTGAGCGAGTCGTAAACATTTAACAGGGCTTCACTGTCAAGGAAACGGTCGGCTTTAAACCGAACGCCTTGATGTGCGAATCCTTTGATATTATTTCCGGTCGAAATCGATTTTAATGATGTCTCGCAGAAGCGATCGACGACCACAAGTATTATTTATACCTCATCTAGGGATAATAATAAACACCTCGAGGTATTATACTATAGCCTTCAAGCACGCTGGTATTCGATGGCAAAAGCCACAACAATAATAATTATATGATATTTTAACTGAGTCCGATACACCAATGACTGTCTGATTCAAACTTTGATCCTAGAGATCCAGTTAAACACACCGACGTGATTGTCATCGTTCACGATTGTACCATATTATGTGCAATTTGAGAAGACAATTATTAGGCCCAAAAAATATTTAAATATTAGCCATACATAGGTACAGAAGTAGTTCATACATTTAATGTAGCAATGCATTCTAAAGAATAATCATGAACTCTTATTAATTGTATTCTAATTATAAAAATACACGATTATGAATACAATATTGAATATAATAGAATTTAAAATCTGTTTAATATTATATTATTTAAAGACATAATAATTATGAAGAGCTGGAGTATAGCCTGCGAGTATCGCGTAAACACTATTTTATTCAATTACATGGGGCCCTATAGTACAAATTGATAATATAGTATAATAGCTAGGTAGTTATCTAGAATCATTCTGTTTTTTCGTGTTTGTACTAATCTGATTGGATAAGTGTTTAGTCTGGAAATATGACATAAGTGATGGTTAAGGGGGAGGAGCTATTGTTGATTAATTTGGTCTGTATCGAATCAGCAAAACCCATTTAAAAATTGGAATTGTGTCTATGACACAATATAATACAACATAATATTTATTACATTATATTAGGAATAGCTAAATACTCTATAGCTGAAGTAGCACCATCAAGCTTCACACATGATATTCTCAGAACTTAAATAATTTTTAACGATTATTTAAGATACAAAAAGTCGAATCCGCAGCTACTTGCTGTAAAACCGGCGACAAATAAAATGTGTTTCGCCGAGCCGTGTGTGTGTCGTCTTCAAATGGTTCCTAATAATTATTATTCGCCTTATAATAATATAATACGAATAAAATATTATCGTGTATAAAAAATCTACACGGAATGATAATATACAGACCAATTATCCATGTTACATTCGGAACACAACGGTGCCGTTCAAACCACGATAGTGTTGGAAAACTATATCTCTATAGTTCACATAGTTCTCACCTTGAATGGTTACCCCCCTAAAATGATATTTCTTCGATAACGCATTTACTCAAATTCTGATCTTTGGAATATTAAGTAAATTTTCAAAATACTTAGATTTCATTCAATTTATGGAGGCACCCGAGGCGATATTATGAAATGATAATGTTCATTATTGTAGTTCAAAAATCCAAAAATCCTAGTTCTAAAAATGCATAATCTATTCATGGATAATACGGAGTAAGCATGCTTGGTGATCACCCCTTGTGTTTATAACTACATGGATTATAGAACTCACGATGGACATCCTGAGCTTGCGGAAAACGCATAATATATTCGCGCGAGTACCTATAACGTAATATTTGTCTTGTGGAATCGTATAATATATAATATCCACCCGACCTCACCTGACGGTGGATTGATCGAATTGGGGCGGCCCTCGGTTTTTTTTCCACCGTCACTGACACACTACAGCTACCTCCACCGCCATCGCCGCCACCGTAACTTCTACTGCCACCTCTAGGACCACCGCCACCGCAACACCGCCGTGGCGACACGCGGGCACTCCGACCTGACCGCGTCCCACATGTGTTGAAGAGATAACGGATCTGTCGATTAAAAAAAAAAAAAAAAAGCGAGAGAGAGAGAGAGAGATAGAGTGACAGAGGAAAAAAGGAAAAAAAAAACATTCAACCGACCGACCGACCGTATCTCTCAAGGCGAACGCCGCCGTCACCGCTCCGGAGAATTGGGCGCGGGTGGAGACACGACGACGCGACGCGTGTGGGGTGGTTCATGCGTACACACGCGAATATATAGAGGAATGATTCCTTCCCCCCGCGACATTCGCTCCGACCACGCACCTCCACCGCAATCTATACAAACCGCCCTTACTCGCCCGCGCCATACACCGCCGCCGTCCCGTTATTCCATTTTGGCCACCGCCGCCGACGCTCCCGCCAGTTTCCGAGCAACCCTTCGACCGGCCGGTGCGGTGTTCGTCGTTGTCGTCGTCGTCGTAGTCGTTCGCTTTCTGTTTTTTGCGTACACACCCAAATACACGTAAATTCACACACACGCACACACACACACACACACACACACACACACACATACTTACACACACACACACACACACACACGCGTACACACGCACACAGTCAGGCACACTCGTACATAGATACACACACATGCGTACACGTATTAATATTATAGAAATTAAAAAATTTAATCCTACCGCCGTGCGCAGTGCGATCTCTATTTTTAAATATTTTTTTTTGAAAATGTTGTCAATTTTTTTCTTTGTAGTTTTAAAATAATTATATTCTAGCCGGAGTGGTTTATTTAAATAATTATTGTTGTTGTTGTAATTTATTTTTTGTGCGCCCGTTCCGATGTGGTGTGTGAATGTTTAATGACGTCGCCGTCGCTGTCTTCGTCAGCCTCTCGAACACACCGTATAAACATCGTGGTGAGTGCCATCACACACACATACACACACTCACGCACTCATGACAAAAAAAAAAAAAAACAAATGGAAAAAAGCACCTACTCCGGAATAGGTTTTTCTGCGCCATCGATTTGATTTATTGCGTCATTATATCGGTACTCGTCCGGAACGAGATTAAGATGCGATCTCGTCTCGTGCGCGACACATTGCAATTTTGAAACGAGTTCCTCGACGATACAACAATGAATTATTAGTACTCTGCCGATTTCCAAAATGGTGGAAATTCACCGAGACACGCTCATATACTATTAAACTGTAGTCGACGTATAGATAAACACAAAATAAACTTTTAATTGCTCGATGCATTACTAAAAATAGCAGCGAACTGAGAGTCGAAATAGATATTCGTTCAATAATTAATTGATAGTTCGTTTTAGTTTTTAATCGAAAACTCGTTTGGTTAGTATTTTTTCGTCTATACTAATTGTTTTAAATTTCGTCAAGATGCAAGACGTTTTTTTTAAGTTACATAAAGTGTAGTCTTTTAAAAGTATTCAAATAAACGATGGCCAGCAAAATATGGTATATATGTACACCTAAGCGTTACAATGAGCCGACTTTCCACACCTCTGAAATTAAGATATTTGTTTAAGTATTACCGCCTTCGTAATTTCTGCTAATTGCGAACCTCTATACTAAACGATAATACGTGGGTTTTAATAAGTATATGCGAACATAGGTCGGTCATAACTCATGAAAGTTTTGAACGGAGCCCCCTACATTTTGGGGACAAAATATATAAAACATAAAAAGTTAATTTTTGGATAGCGTTCAAAGCAAATAAGAAAACTATTTATGAGCGAAAAAAACTTACTTTTTCTGCGTTTTGTTTTTATTTTTTTACCATTTTAAAAAGAACAACGTTGCCGCTAAAGGCGACATTGAAGTTTTTATGGATTTGCAAGTAGTATTAGTTTCACATTTGAAATATTTATCATCGTATATATGTATATATAAATTGTTTTTTTTTCTCTCTCGACCGTACCGTGGGCTTGATAAACTTTCTCGTCGGTGTTCCAGCTACGATTCGAGTAACCACATTATATTATTTTGTGTACGAACATTTTTACCATTTGTAATTTAATACGATTGTACGATCGGTTCTTATTTGTGTGCAACTCGAAATATTATTATCGCATAACGATACCGTCTGTACCTAATCGGTGGCGTCGTCTCGACGAACGCAGTGCATTATCGTCGGAATTGCACATAATATAAAACAATATGTATAGTAGCAAATCGTCATGACTAAATTTTAAATCGTCTCATTGAATTGGATGAATGCCCGCCAAGTTAGCGAGTTCCGTAATGAAAAACCCGTAGACCTTATAACTGCGGTTGAACGCTGAAATGACAAAGATATTAATTAGTTCAGCGTGACATTACCCTCCAGACACACACACACACACACACACACACATACATAAATATATTATATCCTACAATAATCCCCTCGTAATTATTTGTCCTTTACATCTGAAGAATGGAGCCGTGTAGCAATTAAAATGCTACAAAGCTCGTAAACGCAGCATTAGACTAAAATTATTTTTCTTCATTTTTCGCCGATGAAAAACGTCTTGTTGAAATAGTATTCAAATAAACTATTTATAGCTGTGATTTATGTTTTCGTTATTCGTTACACACTGTCATCGTATATAAAATCATCGATAGAATTTTTTTTTTCATTTACCCACCTCTCAGACCTCTAGAGGCAATTTGAAAAAAAAAATAACAAATTATATAAAAATAAACCCTTCTGTTGTATGGAACTATCTCTCGAGAGCGTCGTGTCGTTTATTTTTTATTTTTCCCCTAGTACTCAATTGGAGCTGTTACGGATAATAATCGAACCACTAGTGGCCGAGTTCAAGGGACTATACGGAATTGGCACTCGAGGGAAAACGTGCACTTGATATTTTCAAATTATATTTTAATCGATTCCAATGATCAATATCCCACTGGGGGGTTGTTTTATTTGGTTTAAATTCGTTTATTTATAGTCATCGATTATTATTGTTGTATCTTATTTACTAATAATATTAGTAAAAAAATCAAACACCGGGGTTTATCATGTACGTAGAAAGGTTGCAGATGTAAAATACTGATTTAACTTTTGGTTAAATTATATTAATGGAGCACCATAAAGATAAAAATAATTGGAAAATTATAATATTGACTTTCCAAAAACTATTGAAAAAAATTCAATATAATGGATTTGCAAACCTAATTTATTTAAGAAACTAATAGAATTTTTAATCGATATGAACTTGAGCGTTATTGATTAACTCGAAACGTCAAGTACACAAATAATATAACTATACTAAATTTTAACAGTATAACAAAAATACGGTAGAATAGATAGTAACTTCTAAATCTTCTTGGATTGAAAACGTCGATATTTTTTAGAAAAATAATGAAAACGTCAAGATATTAAATACAATACGTATATACAACCGATATCATATCGAATGTTATGTCACTTGAAAATGTTTGAATACTTACATTATCCATCTTAAAAATGGTTTCAAGAGAAATATAAGTCGTCATTGATGAAACCAATAACTTTCTCGTTCAGATTTGAATACAAACATAATAATAATACGCTAGAGAATATACCGATAAAAGTGGAATTTTTTTTAATAGATTTATCAGCACAGAAAAAATGCTCAGAATTTCTTCATGACAATTATTGCGTTGTATTTTAACATGACTTTAAATGTTGAATACCGATTTTATTCATTGATACCTGCTGGAACTCATATTTGTGGTCATCCGTGGCATTCGTAAATTAAATTTCGGCCCTCGGACTGTACTGACCAACTAAATTACACTATATATTTTTAAATTAATTTTATGTTTCATTCTCATTCTCTCTCTCTTCTAATACTTCCTTACACTCAGTCGGGAGAAATCCGAATGGATTTTGACCTCAAGCCACGTACATTTAGGATTCCGGCAGTCAGATAAATGATGGCAGTTCTATTACAGTCCGAATCGGTACCATTTATTATTAACACGTCAACACTATAATAAAAATAATAATAATAATAATAAAAAAAACAACACTATCGAACAATTTATTCGATATGAATACAGTGTGATCTGCAGTTGCAGCTGTTGGAATTCCTAAGAAATATATACATCTAAATCACATTTTTTTTTTAATCGAACGGTTTATACTCGTGGCCGTTTGCATATAAGTTTCGTATCTAATTTTCTGAATCTGAAATTTCGATTGTTGTACATTTAGAACTTTGTCTGCGTTTTCTGTTGATCATCAATCAACGTGTCATGCGCGGGTCGTTTATTTTCTTTCCGGAAGTGCAAAAGTTTTAAAAACCACAAATACTTGTCAAAAGGAAACAAAATGACCACACCAAAATTCGGTATATTGCGCGTACAATAAAATATGGAAGCTATTACGTTTAAACAATTATACGTATTTTTTTTCATAATCTGATTCGTCGAAGACAATACGTAATATTTAATACGCAGCTGAAATGAGATATTAATTAAAATTAATTAAATTAGATGTATTTCATCTTTTTTTAATATTCATAAAAGTAAATAAATATTGAGTCATATATTTCAACATAAGTAATTAGCAGTAGAAAAAAAGAAAACGAAAACTTCCGATGAGTTATAGTTTGCAAAATTACATAATTTGATATATAAACGTTTTAAAACACAAACATGTACACGATGATTAATGGCGTTTGGTTTTTAGCAGCAGTTCAATCTTAACGAATAAAAGTGGGGAAATGTAATATGAAAATATATTTTGTCCTCCGTTACGTTATTCATGTTTGTTATTAATATTCTGATTGAATTTATGCAAAACCATTGTTAAAAAAAATAGTAAACTATAAAGTATATATTATTATATTAAAACGGTTTGAAAAATACGTAGCTGAATAATTATGTTTGGAATTACTGGCATAAGCAGATTTGATTACAAACTATAATGTTATAATGGTTGCTTCCATAGTCGCAACCATATACCTAACCTAATGTTAGTGTACTATTTTTATCGCATTGCACCAATATACTATTATAATTGAATTATTTATTCCATGCTCCACAGGTTTGACGTATTTTGCATATAACCTCCGACATTAAAATTGTTATGCGTTATAGAATTTATTTAATGCGAAATGCAACCGGCTGTAAAAAAAACTATGAAGTATGCATTAGAAAAATAATAACTAATGATATGCTATTATCTAAAAAAAAAAAAAACAAATAGATTTCTAAGTTCTTATAAAATTGTTTATTTGCAATTATTATTGACCAGTTAAGCACCTATGTCAGATACACCCAAAATATTATGTAAATTAAATTCACTTGTATATTTTAAAGTAATCAAATATGTTATATATAATTATAAACAACAGTGCGATGGATGAAAATGACAGGGTAATCATTGAATTTATAACGTGCAAATAACTAAAATCAACATTAGTTTGATTATAAACCATAGTTGAAAACTTCTACAAGATGTTTATGCCCAAAGCCGTCTGTTGAAAAGCGAATCACGATACATTATCAATTAATGTAAGTACCTACGAGATATATATAGTAATTGTAAGAAGACCATGTTTTGTGTTAGTCATAAATCGATTTATATCTACTTCATCACTATAATGTTAAACATGTCTGCTATCAGAAACAAAATAATAATATAGGCATTTCGGGTTTAATCAATTTTTCATCGTTTTTCGAACCGTCATATGTATAAATGTCGTAGGTACTATAATTTATGTGGATAGATAATAATATGTTTTTATGATTCGTATTTAATTTTCCGAGTAAAATCTTTTTCAACGACTAAACATATCGCAAAAATAAGTACAACATCCAAATCCAATGCGTTAAACACTTGAAGTAGATCATTTTAAAAATAATTCCCAGATTTATTTAATTATTTTGAATTATTTATTACAGTCTGAGTGATTCACTAT